TCGTTGCGCTGGAACCCCCATCCCCTATACTACTGCATCGGTAAGAAAACCACTCAGAGCCTCTGATCACAGTAAATGCAGTGCTTCGATCCAATCAGCTGAATGCAACTCATGAATCTTATTATAAAGCTTCAGTAAAGGGCAAAACACTGCCCTCCTTACTCAATCAATCATGATTTTTGTTTACTGAAAACTTGCTTCAGTCTTTTGGAAAAGCTCCAAAACTGGAAATAATGTATTTTTGACACTTTGCTTGGATTCCATGTATATCTTTAGGCATCAAAAAGGCCAGTTCGATGAAGACTAAACTAGTTTCCGTAACGAATCTTGATTTTTAATGCTAAAAAGATCAATTTAAAGATAAAGAACCTCTTTTGATCTTAAGACGCCTAATTATTGGACAGATCGGGGTTAACCACAAAAAAAAAATCAAACATATGGCCCTCTGAAACTGATTGGATTGATTTAAAATTTACAATTATTGAATATTACGGCGGGAACAAAACTGGAGGACGCACGCTGGAAAAAAGAAAAGAAAAAACCTCGTGGCACAGGAAAAAATAAATAAATGAAACAGAACAAACGCAACTCACTAGGCTTCGTACGCGGACCTCTTGCACCAAAGCCTTGAATTTTTTGTGAGAGTACGAAGTTTGGGCAGCATATACAACCCATGCTATTGCTTCCCATAGATATATAGTTGTCACTGAGCATGACAAAAAAAAAAGGTTGACCAATCGGGCAAATTTATAATACCTGTCTTTGTGTTTGGCTAGCCACGGACAAAAAGATGTACACGGGTGTGAAAATCATTTCTACATGCCTTTACCAATTATGTAGGAATTTTTACATTAGACTTCTTTCCCGTTCCTGAACACGTATCATTCTATTAGAAGACACATGATTAAGCATACAGTAAGAACATAGAATTTCATTCTCGAAAGAAAGACAATCATGTGATCTGAAATGGGCGGTAATACCCAAAGTAAAACGTCCTGTTTTTCTGTATCGCTTAAAACGCATATTTCATCACTGATAGGTATCAAACTAACGGTGCGTCCTACCTCTGTATGTCAATCCAAGTCCTGCATAAGTGTAAGAACCTTCTCCATGCTTGTGTCCATCACGCCATTCTCCATCATAACGATCACCATTTGTATAAACGTAGATACCTTGACCATGTTGCTTGTTGTTCTTCCAATCACCAGTATAAACAGACGTGTCGGGGAAAACCATTCTACCTTTACCATCACGCCTGCCTTCCTTGTAATAACCTTCGTACCTGTTGCAAAAGAAATTATTAAAGGAAAAACATGTGGTAGCATGGGTTCGAGCCCTGCGGTCGCCACATGTGAATTGAGTTTGTTTGATGTGTTGTTCTCTCCTATGCTACGAGGGTTTTCTCCGGGTTCTCCGGTTTCCTCCCTCCATAAAAATCAACATGTGAGTTGAGCGTTGTGTGTATAGAATAATAAATGTAGTGGTAGTGCGTGTGAGCGAAAAGTGTCCCCAATTAGTGCGAAAGCGCTAGAACGACTAGACACTTAAATAAAAGTGATTTATTTATTATTTTTTTAAACGTTACTTTAAAGAAAGGATCGCGAAAATGGAAGTGAAGACAGGATAAGAAAAGAAACAAAAGAAGAAAAAAAGAGAAAAGAAAGAAAAATAGAGACAAGAAAAGAAAAGAGACAAGAARGGAAGAGAATAGAATCAAGTACAACTCTGAATTTTACCTAGCATTACTGTTGAAAATATATTTTCCCAATCCATGTCTTTTCCCATGCTTGTATTGACCCTCGTAGACGTCACCATTCCCAAACATTGCTTTTCCATATCCATGTCTTTCACCCTCTTCATTTCGATCTCCGTCGTACGTTTCAATAATCTCACTTCTATTGTCATATTCTGCTTCGTCATCGTTTAATGAAAACATGTTGGAAGTTGATTTCTTTCACGTTTTTACCTCAGAAATAGATAGTTGCGTTCTATTTTTCTCATAGGACAAAAATAAATGAATTCTGGTTTCATTTACTGACTGTGACTCAAGATAATTAAATAAAGATTTTCTGCGCGCGCTTGTTAACTTGCGTTTGAATGAATTCGAACGTTCATCTTGAAAATGTGGTTCGAAAATGGCTAGTTCAAGTCCTTCGTTTACACTTAGTTTACACGGTAGTTTAGGATATATATTCATTGAAAATATGTTGGCTAAACGCTTAAAGCACCCAAGGTAGGCTAGCGATAACAAAACTCAGTTAATAATATCATTGATATTTAATTTCCATTCGAAAATCACTATTTGGAAATCCCCTTGCCTTTAAAACATAAACTTCAAACTTTTCACGTAACTCAAAATTATTATTATCATTATCAGATTATCAGTAGTAATGGTAGTGGTAGTGAGTAGTTATGACCCCCCATCCAGCACCTTTTGTTAGGGAGGGGAGGGGTGGTCAACTGAAATACGTTTAAGAATGTGAGAAATACTTTAGAGGATAAATGGAATTCGGACTCAAGCAAGGGGACAGGGGGATGGGTTGTTGTGCGTAAGTATAAAGGAATGTGAGCGATTGTCAATAGAGCACGAGGGCATAGGAAGGGAATAAGTTTCGTATGGATAATATAGATGGGAAGGGATGTAGGGAATAGGTAGCAGCGATGATAAAAGGGGAAATGAGGAAAATGTATTATTTATAGGGGTAAATTCAAGGGCAACGTGAAGGGCAGGATAAATACGCCGCGTATGGTGATGGCACGCGTGGCGGGGGGCGGTGCTGATATGATGTATCGAAAAATAATTTGCTTGTAAGTTTGTATGATGAGCTCACGTGTAGGTAGAACCGTCGGTGAATGTATGACCTAGCGCCCTATCATGCATCTATCGTCAGGGGTGAAGATGCAAGATAGCGAAGAAATTCGACGTGTTTCAAGACTCTTAGGCCCAAGAGCTTCACCCTACACGTGGCGCCAGGTCAACGGTTCTGCCTGTGGAATAAGCAATAGCGGCGGATAAAGGGAACCACAAGGATACCGAGGTAAAACGGGGGTGTGGATATAGGGTAAAGGATAAAGTGTGTTACCTGGAAATGATGATATGTGGCCTAGACGACGGGCTAGCGATTTCGTGATTGAAGATTCCATAACTGTATGGCGAGAGAGGGGAAGGCCAGTCGCGGAGGGGGCGTTTATGTATGTCGTGAAAGCCGAGGTTACGAAAATAAGTGGGGTGGACAAAGGTTCAAACAGGGCGAGTTAGGGTTTAGTTGTAGCGGATAAGTATGGAGGAAGTGAGCAAGAAGAAGAAGGTGGAAAAAGGAGAAAGGAACAATGATAATAAATAAATAAATAAATAAATGAATGAATAATAAAGGAAAAAAAATTTTTATAAATACATAGATAAATAAATAAATGAATAAAAATGAATAATTAAATAAATAAATAAATAAAATAAAATAAAAAACATAGTTTAATAAATAGGTGAAGAGAAAATATAAATATAAATCAATAAATAATAAATCAATAAACAAACAAATAAAAAGCAATAAAAAGGAAGAGGGACGGAGGGAAACCAACAAGGGGGGAGGGGGAGGGGGGTGTTTGGGGTTAGTGGTCAGCGGTTGTATGTTGGTGTTGTACAAATTAAAGATGGAGTTGTGTATAGAAAGTACAAGAGCGTTAAGTGTAGTATGAAATAATGTGAGAGATGGCAGATAAAGGTATAGAGAAGAGCGTATCAGGGGAAGGAAAGACCCACTGTAAGAAACGAAGAAAAACGAAGCGGAAGGTGAGTGGATAAAGTAATTTATTTATAAAAGTGAATTAAAATGGCGAATTGTTAAGATCATGAAATAAAATAGAAAACTAACGAACCCGTAGGGTGGAAACCAACAGGTATAAATATATATACACATATGTGAATGAACATGAACAAACTAGGTGGACTAAGGAACGTCTATCCAATTGGGGAGAGTGGTAAAAGGGCAGGTAGTGGAATTCGTCTGTGAAGGCTCCTTGTGTCTGAGAAGGCTTGTCGAGATGTACTGTAGAATGGATATGTTGATAAGTGGAGGTGAAGAAAACCAAATCGTGGATGTTAGGGAGAATTCGTGGAACAGTTCTTGCATATTTGTTGTAGTAGTGTCAATGAATATATTTCCAGTGTATCATCAATAGATATTATAACTGATAGTTGGCATTATACTTTAGTTAGGAGTGTTAAAATAGTCCTAGTGATGAGGTTTCAACTGTTTTTTTGAAGGTATACAGTCTTGGGTCTTCAAGGTTTACTGGGATTGTGGTGGATCTTGGGAGCGGATGATGGTATTCATAATCTTGGGTGACAATTCAAGCCAGGTTTGCAGAATAAGAGGTGAGTAGACTGATATTTGTGATAGAATGCTTTGTAGTGGGTCTATATGTCGGTAGTTTGATGGTCCAAATGTTTATCTCCTTGGTGTGTTCCTACAGATGGCAGCATATCTCCATATCTCCAGAATGGACGAGGTGGTAGATTTTTTCAGCATGTAGGAGGTACTTCTAGCGGGAGGTGTAGTTAGCACTGAAGTTGATGTTGTCTTTAAGATGGTCGAGGAGGAAGGGAAAACAATTGGACAGACGTCCCTTCTATTTTTAAAGCTTGGAGTGTAATATAAATAAGAAAGGCTAATGGGGAAGAAACTAAGAAATTGGAATGATAAAAATATAAATATAATAATATATARGGAGGTAAATATAGTGAAAGGGTAAGCTAAACGAGAGCGGTGAAGCCGCTGAAAAAGGAACGAGAAAATAATAATATAATATAGTAATAATAATATCATAGCATAAAAATATAATAATACTACCATGATATGGTATATATTTTATATATATATATATATATAGTAAATGTGTATTATGTAAAAGATGTATTAATAGAAGGAGGTGTAAACGGTTGTAGATTGAAGTAATAAAATTAAGACACCATAGGTGTGAAGTTGTCTTSTTGTGATGGTTATTATCGAGAACCATAAGGTGGCCAGTTCATCTAGGGCCAAAATGATATGAAGAGTGGATGATTGTGTAGGAGACGTGGAGGTGATCCTGTGCTGTCGAGGTTACAGATGGCAGAGTCTATAGAGTCTTGGGCCAGATCTTGGTTCTTGGAATGGTGTGTAGGAGTTGTGTTGGAGTAATCCAGTGTTGATGAAGAGTGGGAGGGCTCACGATGGCAGGGTCTGGCGGTAGGAAATTAGTGTTGCTGTGCGTCCTGAAGAGGTATTGTTGGGATGAAGGTGTGTACCTTGGATGAGGAGATCATAAGTGGATGAGCATTGGTTGTTTCCATTGAGGGATTAGTCTAGGACAATTCTTGGTCTTGAGGAGTTCCTGTTTGGAATTGTAGACGGTCCAATAGGGAAAAGATTTGGTAGACGTGAGGTGGTTCCCAGTGGTTTTGGAGTACAGCAGGAGTTCTGATTCTTGAGATGTTCTTTAAGGCCAATATTGTTTGAAGAAATAGATGGAAGATGTATGTGTTGAAGRTTTAGAGTTAGAGGAATGAGATGAGAGGAGAATATAGGGAGGGAAAATATTGTTATTGAAGGTGTGGAAGAGGAGAAGGAATATTAGGACAAGAATTTATTGTGGACTAGTGTGTCCCTGAGGGTGCTGTGTCTTTGAAAAGCGGTGGTGGGGGGTGTGGGGAAAAGGGGGGAGAGCAAAGGGTCATTGGAGATGTGGTGCCAGTGGGAGAGTAGAATGTGAGAAAGGTATGACAAAGGGAAGGATAGGGGAGGGGGTGTTGGTGAGTGGAAGGTTAGGTATATTGTGTTTGAGGAGTTCTCTTTGGGTGAGGTGGTGGACCTTATGGAATTGTGAGTTGATAATGGAGTTGGGGTAGCCTCTTGTAAGTAAAATAGATTGAAGGCGGTCTAGATGTTTGTGAAAGTCAGTGTTGTCAGTGATGAGACGTCTGTAGCATAGTGCTTGGCTGTAAATTGTACCAATTTTGCATTTGAGGGGGTGGTGGGATGAGTGGTGTAGGAGGAGGGTGCTGTCAGTGGGTTTAGTGTATAAGGTTGATTTGAGGCGACCTGTAGGGGTGAGAATAACGGTTGTATCCAGGAAGTTAATAGAGTAAGGTGAAGAGGTATGTTGGGATTTGATGGTGGGGTGGAAGGAATTAAGGTGTGTAATGAAAGTGTTTAGGGTTGAGGTGCCATGTGTCCATATCATGAATATATCATCAATGTATCTCTTCCACATAAAGGGTTGGAGATTGTAGGGGGAGTAAAGAAGGAGTTTGTGTTCAAGGTCAGCAAGGAAAAGATTGGCATAGGATGGGGCCATGCGTGTACCCATAGCGGTGCCCAATGTTTGAAGGTAGTGTTTATTGTCAAAGGAGAAGAAGTTGTGATATAGTATGAATTTCATGAAAACCAAGAAGAGTAAGAGTGGTGGTCTGTGTGTAGATGGGATAGTGGAAAGGGCTTTAAGAGATGTGTGAATGCCTTCATTGTTAGGAATGTTGGTGTAGAGGGAGCAGACATCAATGGAAACTAAAAGGGAGCCCTTGGGTAGGGGGGTAGGGAGGTTTAGGATGGTGTTGAGGAAATGGGTGGAGTCTTTGATGTATGAGGGGATGTGGGGTACTAGTTTCTTTAGGTAGTGGTCAGTGAAGAGGGATAAGCGTTCAGTGGGGGAATTACAACCCGAAATGATGGGTCTACCTGGATTGTTATGTTTGTGGATCTTGGGRAGCATATAGAAGAGAGGGGTTCTGGCTGGGGAAGGGGGGAGTAGGAATCGAAAAGTGTTAGGGTCTATAAGTTTCAGGGAAAGTAGTTTGTTGAGGTGTAGTGTGATGGTGTTAGTTAATAGAGGGATAGGGTCATGGGGGATGGGTTTGTAGTAGGTGGGATCGTTCAACTGGCGTAAGGCTTCTTTGATCTATCTTATTCCTACATTCTGTGTTAATAATGTATTCAGGCGATGAAAGTAACTGGACTGTGGGAGAGTGCCTGGTGATGGAAAGGAGCCACACGGTGGTTATTGGCGATGTCTGGTAAGAATTCAATGATTATTTGTTACTGTTGTTAATATATTTGATGGTTTTTAATACCTCCGTCGTGGCAGATAAGTCAAAAGTTTCCAAGTTTTTATTTTTCTTTCAAAAACTTCGTTATTGTATTCCAAATCCGCTTCAATAAATATGTGAAGCATTATTAAAGTGTCGGGTATTCTCAATATTCTGCGAACTCAGTAGTTGCTAGTTATCCTTTGAGATTGGAGCACTTTCAATTCCGCCAGTCAAAATTATAAAATAATGATTTGAGTTGACAGAATCAAAAACCAATATTACAACGAGTCCGTGTAATGTCTGAGTTTGARTAGAGTAATGTTGAGAATCGATCGCAGTGAATTGCGACCCTCATGGTCACAGTATTTCGCCGACGTCAATCAAAGAAAGGTCAAATGGTAGTTTGTAACCATTTTTGAAGTAATTGAAGTGTTAATGTTCTGGCCTTTGGTAGTGCTATTTCAGTTCGTACGGCAGCTGCTATGTGTGGTTTAGAGAATCTCGATCTGATTTGAGTTTGATTTTCCTGCGCATCAGGCCCAATAGTGGTTTTGATAGACGCAAAATGGCAAAATAGACAAGGGAAAATGAATACGCGAGAAAGCGTGGCTACTTAGATATGGGCGGGAAATTACTTCTCTCTGCATTAAGGGAATGGCCCAACTAGAGAAACAAACTGTGCGGGTTACATTATTAGGGACCGATTTCAAATTCGCTGAATATTAATGTTAAGACAAATCATTCCCAGAACGACTGACATTGTTTTTTACTTTAAATATCCTAGCACCTCATTGATGTTAAAACCCATCGTACTGGAATGTGGGCATACGTTTTGCGACGCATGCGTCGATAGGCTGAAAGATGGCCCACAAGATAGACAGAAATGCCCTTCGTGTAGAAGGCCCCTATCCGCGGCATCCGTCAATGTGTCCCTGGCTACGCTGGTGTCATCACTGCCTGCCAGGTGCCTTAATGACGGATGTTCGTGGGCGGGAAGAGTGGACGGACACGACTTCCACTTAACCCAATGCCAGTTTAGGTTGGCAAGCTGCAGGTTTCGTAATGTTGGGTGCCAGGTGAAGGTGCAGAGGAGGAAGGCAGCAAGGCACGAGAAAGAATGCCCATACAGACCTGCAACTCGCACTTGGTGTCAACTTGAAATTCCTAGAATTTCAATTAACAACCACAAAGCCACCGAGTGCAAGAAGGTCCTTTGTCCCTATTTCAAGGGACCAAATGACAGCCACAATGTTGATATGTGAGTATTTGTGATGGCCTTTTCAAATGTTTTTCCTAAGACATTAAATTGGAATTCCAATTCTCTGTCAAGTCTAAAACTATTAAGACATTATTTCAATTAATGTTTGTGGTCACAGATGCRACGCCACGCAGCACATGTTCACGTGCCCTAACAGAGTACAGAAGTGTGAGGTTCGTGGTTGCGATTTTCGTGGCAATCAAGAAGACATGCTGCTCCACAAGAGCGCGAACGTGGAGAACCACAACGAGCTCCTGACACGAGAACACCGCGATATGATGGTGTTATTAAAGACCAAGGTACATTCCAGTCTTTTATATGTGTAGACTATAATTAAGGAATATAGAAATAAAAATGGATTTTCGTTTAAAAAGAACGTTAGTAATATAGGCCAGCTATGTATGTTTTGTCATGCAAATCTCTATTTTCAGGAATGCTTACCATTGCTTATATTATTGAATTTCAGCCCACCTCAGCGATGACCAGGTACCAGGAGGAAGTGCTCGGTGCCTGGTCATACACCTGGTCTATTGGCGAGGAAGCCGCAGAGGATATGGTTTCCTCAAAGGCACGAGGGGTGCCATTGACAAGTCCTGAATTTTCGGTGCTTGTGAATGGCGGGCGACTGAAATGGAGGCTCTTGCTCTACCTAAGCACAGGAGAGATCTCTCTTCAACTGATGGAAGGGGAGCAAGGGCCATACACCTTTAAGATGCTGTAAGTAAATGCACAACCATAATTATTATGTCCAAAATAATGTGTACTATAAAATCACTAAAATGCTGCAATTAATTGATTCGTTTGTTCGTTGTCCAATTGTAGATTTTCAATTGAAGATGCAGGGAAAAGTTCGACGATGACTGTAGTACTACGAAGAGGAGAGATGGCTGGCTGGCAATCTCGACTCTGGCTAAGAAATCGAAACGTCCTGCCACTTGTCATACGTGCAACGTTAACCTTGGTACGTTACACGTAAATTGGTTAAAGTCGCACTTGGATGATGATGTGACTCAATTATTATTATGAAGGCCAGGCTGGCGAAACATTTTTGGCTGGAAAATTGTAGTACCTAATTTGAGAGTACATGACGTCATTTACTCAACCCCAGTTTTGATATTTTAATTTTTAAATCAAATTTTCCCAATCATAAAAAAAGTTGCCAATCTGGCTTTCATGATGATAATTGAAGATTGAAAAATATAAAATATAATTCAAAATATTTGAATTATTTGAACTATCAAAAAACGGTTTTTCATCATCCAAATGCCTCTTTAACAATTATTGGATGAAGACRAGGTGATTAACGGTTTACCGGTAGTTCGATACATATTAGAGAAAACATTTCAACGATAATCACCGAGCCTGCGTCCCATAGTTTTTTTAAATATTACTACGCATGTGATTATTACAACAATTCATGTGAATTAGTGTACGATCTCTAAGAACACTAAGCACAAGGTATCTAGCAAGACAGCCAGTTCAGTGGCTGACCAACAAGAGGGCGTGGTTTTCTATAATCACCTGTGTAGTAATACCAAGGTAAGGTTCATTTGATATTACAAGGGGATGGGTGTGTGTGTGTGT